GGCATGTGGTGCTGGGGGATCGAACTGCGGTCCCTGTGCTTTGCCAAGCTTGTTCCAAGTAGGTGCTTTAGACCACTGAGCCATCTCTCCAGCCCCTCTCATTTGTTTTTATATGACCTTTATGGCCCAGAGATTATTCACAAGTAAGGCCTTTCTTTTTGGGGGTGGGCATGGGTTTGAGACAGAGTCTCCCTGTATGGTGCAGGCTCGATTTGAACTTGCTTATGTAGCACACGCTAGCTCAAACTTATGGTGATCCTCTTGCCTCAGCTTACCAAGTGCTGGAATTACAAGCATGTGCCTCTATGCTGGGCTAGAAAAGCATTTCTTTTTGTTGTTGTTGTTGTTGTTGTTGTTGTTGTTTTTTGGTGGAACCAGGAATTGAATTCAGGCACTTATTCTGCTGAGCTATCTCCCTGGCCCCTGAAAAGCATTTCCTAATATTTAACTTTAAAATTGTGTATCTTTCTCTTTAAAGTAGATATGTGCTAATTTTATGTCTAAGGCAAAATAGTTTTTTTTTAAAGTTATACTTACACTGGGCATGATAATACATGTAATCCCAGCACTTGAGAAGTCTGAGGCAGGAGGATCACAAGTTTCAGCCTCTCCTCAAAAATACAGTGTCTTAGGGAGACCATGTCATAATTTAAAAGTACAGAAAGAGGGGTGAGGAGCTGGGTTCAATTCCCAGTACCACAAAATACCACTACTTCTTCTTCTTTTTTTTTTGGCGGAACCAGGGATTGAACTCAGGCCCTTGGGCTTGCTAGGGAAGCGCTTATTCCACTGAGCCATCTTCCCAGCACCAAAACTACTACTTCTAATAAATCTTTTACCATTTAGAACTTATTTTTTGAGAAAGAAATGCAATAGGAATCCAACCTGCCCCCAAATAAGAGAGCTATTTCCAATAGAGACTTATTAAATGGTCTCTATTTTCCCATGATTTTACTGTTTGTTGTACACTGAATTTCCTTATTGTTCAAATTTATTTCTGGACTCTAATCTGTTCCTTTACATATTTTCTTTCCAGAACCAACAAGAAAAGCCTGGTAATTTTATTTTTAAATATAAGATGAGGGGGCTGGGGAGATGGTTAGGGGCTGGGGAGATGGCTCAGTGGAATAAGTGCTTCCCTGGCAAGTGCAAGGGCCTGAGTTCAATCCCCGGTTCCAAAAAAAAGAAAA